ATCAATAGATCAAAAGTTATTGTTAATTATATATGTATAAGTATTAGACTATATAAAATTTATTTAAATTTGATTGGTTAGTTAGTATCAGGTGGGGGAGGGGGGGTACCCTCTTAAGAGGTGGAAATCACCTGATAAATGTCTATACCCTTATTATTTTACTCAATATATTTACCAATATTTTGTAAAACTTTAATATTTATATTAGGTTTAAACATCTTTTCTTTTTGGCCTAAACCTAACCACAACCTGCTAGATTTATCTCTATTATTTTGTCTCTTATCTCTAACAATCTCTTCTTTGTTAGGTAGATAATCTATATATTATTTAGATAATTGCTACAGTATACTTCTTGGGCCTGCTATTTGCTAATTTAAGTCTTTATTATTTTTAAAAAATCTAGAGAATCTAGCTGAGACCAAAAAATAGTATCCTATACTGATAGCATATCTTTTTTATGACAAAGCTCAAAGTTTTTAAGCTTCAGTACCTATCAGCACATAATAGTAACCATCTTTTAGATTAAAAAAAATTAACTACCAACTCTTTCTATTGTTTGCAACAGGCCACCTAATTTCTCAAAACAGAATAATTTTTGGAGCAAGGTCTGGTTTAATCTTCACAAATCAATTACTAGTTAAAACCTTCTTTGGAACTAGAAATACTAGACTTACTTCTAAAAAATCTGATAGATGAACAATTTTCTTACCAATCTTTACTATAACCTCTGCAATCTTCAATCTCTTCAACTTCTATTTCAACCAATACATTTTCTTCTGTATAAAATAATAGAGCCTTGGGTTTGAACTGATTACTAAATATATTAGATTTTTTAGAAATAAAAAAATTCTCATCTTTAACTACTTTAATACTAACTAAGATAGTCTTATTATTTTTTTTTAAGATTTTATTTTTGCTTAGCTGTAAATTCCCTCTGTTATATTCTTAAGATCTACTTCTTCTAATTTCAACTTCTTCTAAAAGTATTTAACTACTTTTTAACTATATACTGTTTTTATGAAAAAGCAAACCAAGATGCTTCTTAGAACTATACTTATTAGCAAAATACTTTTTTTTTTATACAAATAACAAATATCTCTTTCTTTGGGCTACTTGTTTTTATTATTATTTTTTAACTAGTATAGTAATAGTAAGTATAATTATGCTATTCAAGAGATAGCAGGCTTGCATTCAGACTAAAACTCTGCTAGTACTGTCTACTTTGTAAGAACTGAGATGTAATTTGTATAGCTTGAGAAGGAAGTGCACACAGGCTTCTAATTGAAACCTGTAAACCTAGCTAATTTGAAAATTGTTGGTAAAATTCTGGTTGATGAATATACAGTTGCATTTGTGCAAAATGTATTGTAGAAATACTGTCTATTTGAAGCTAGGTTTGAACTAATGACTGCCCAAGATGTAACTAATATAATAGGTTTGGTTTCTTAGCTTTAAGAAAATGTTGTATTATTAATCTAACTCTTTTACATTTACTTTCTAAAATTTCAGATATTGGGTCTAAGAAGTCTGCAATTGCTATCTTAGATACAACTTTCTAGCTATCTTCATCAGTTATTTTTACCATATATACTTTCTTTATAACAACCTATTTTGCTAAATAAATATAGGCTATATTATCAGTTACCAGAGCTTTATTTAACAATATCCCTGCTTTATACTATTTGTTATACTCCTACTGATTATGCTGCTTTGACAACTCACATTTTTCCACATATCCTTATACTTCATATTATTCAATATCAAAGTACCAAAATCTATCTTCCAATTTATAGCTTCTTTATCCCAAGGCCCATTATATGCCAGATTCAAAGCAAGCATAGCTTGCTTTTTGAAGAAGTTCAAAGAGTTTTGTACACCTGATCTTAACTGTTAAAATCTATCACCAGTTCACTGAAATGTATTAGAATCCTTTAATAAACTTTTGCTCTGATTCTCTAACAGCTGTAGTTGTATATTTTTTTCTTTTTTAGTACATCTAGCTTAACAGGACTTTACTTTTCTTAATTAGCCTTGCCACAACTTTCTTCTTTTGGCCCAAATCTGGTACTCCTGATGCTTACAGATGAACTTCAATGTTTTAATAATAAATATTTTACGTTTGATTTCAAGGCTTCTTGTATTATATCAGGCTAAACTGATATATTGCTTAATACAACCAGATCTGATTCTTTATCTGACAACAATATATCAATAAGTACAATGATAATATCAATTTTTTCTCACTTTCTCTTTTTTTTGCTTAGACTATCATATAACGAACCAACTAAGTTTATTTCTTTAATATAAAATAGATACAATATTATAATTAGTCAATAATAGATAAATATATAAGGTATAAGTTATAAGTTATAAGTTATAAAGTATAGCACTAAAAAACTAAACAAAGTCAGATTATATAGCATTTAATATATCAATCAATAAATCACCACTCTGTATTACCTAATCAATTAATATACTTCTGTGACTAGAGCTAAAACAACATATAGTATACGGTTGCCATTTACTGTGCTACTGCCTATTGTTTAAAGTATCATTTTTGATATATCAAATTACTAGTATAAGTATTTAGTATTAGTACTCTTTAACAATAAGTATATAGACGAATAAAAATTTTGGCTTTTATCATTGTTTGTTTATTAGTATATTTGAATATTATAGTCTAAAAATGTTTGCAATATGATTAAATTTTTTAACAATAAATATAACAATGAATAAAAATTTTAGCTTTTACTACTATCATTTATTAATATATTTGAGTGTTATAGCAAGAAAATATTTGCTAATATTATTGAATTATACTAGATGATATCTGATACTAATATTAACAAAATCGTACCTCAATGAAATTTTTGGCCAAGTTGAAAAAATATATATCTTTGGCTAGAATATAATGCCAAAAACAATCTTATGTTTTGCATATTGTGCTATGCTTATAATAAAAAAATGCTTTTGCAACAAATAGCAAGTTTAACTTATTTAATTCATATCATAATATTTAAATAAATTCTAATAAGTAATTTAATTAGGCTATACAACTATTAAACTTTGTTTTGTAAAAAATTATGCAAAATCAAGAGATTATTTTAAATCATGTAAAAAAATAAAATTATGAGTATACTATCAGAGCATATTATAAGTTTAATGAAAATAGGATATTGTATGGTGAAAGATGATCTTTCTTTAAATAAATTTAGTCATCTTATATATCTTGACCATGCTATTGAAGCTCTGCATTTGATTTTTAAAAACTATCCAATTACTTATAAGAATAATATAAATGGCCAAGAATTATTATATTCGATATTTTTCTCAATTAAAAATAATATCTGAAAAGAATCATCTCTTGTATTAGCTATTGGAATTATAGTTGATGAAAGTACTGATATTTCTATGAAGTCCCATATTATAATCTATATTAGATATTTTATTAATAGAATTATAAAAATACAGTTTTTAAGTTTACTAGAAATTGAAGCTAAAGATATGAAATCAATATATAATATAATAATTAAACTATTTATTGCAAAAAGTAAGTATATTATATAGCTTATCATTATTAAATAATTAATAATTTTTATTTAAAAAATTAGATTTAAATTGTTTTTTATTTAAATAGAAATTGATTATAATTTTTTTTATTTATATCAAATGGTGCAAGTATAATGCAAGAATACATTTCTGAAGTTGCAACACAATAACTAAAGTAAATCTATATATACTTTCTATATACTATATTGTATATCGATTATTATTAGTACATGGATTTGCTAAAAAACAGTTAGAATTTTGTGATTATACTAAATTAGTATTGAAAAGAATTCCTATTTTTTTAGCAATTCAAGTAAATAAATTTAAAATTTATATGCATATCAAGAAATTCTTAATAAGCCTTTATTAAAAATTTTAAAAATTATTGATATTGATAGCTTTCTTTATATGAGGCAGTAAATAAAATATACTTTTTAATTGAACCTTTACTTGATATACTATATCAGCAAATTTTAAAGTGTGAAAAATTTCGAAAAAATTTGTATAATGAAAAAATAACAAAAAAATACGCAAAAATTTTTAAAAATTTTCGAAAAAATAGCTTTACAAAAATTGCAAAAAATATTTTGAAAATTTTCGAAAAAATAATCAAAAGAATTCAAAAAATAATATTTCAAAAAATTTTGAAAATAACATAAGCTAATGCTTACTACAAGTTTTCTTTGTTTTTTTTATAATTCTTTATAATCAATACCTAATTCGATATTAATACTATAGGGGTGTGGCGACTTAGTGAAGTGGTCAAGTTGTTACCCCCCAAGTAGCAGGTCTAGAGTTCAATTCCTACCAGCGACATTATTGAATATCAAAAACTTGTATATCTCCGCTATGTCAACTTAATTGAGTATGCTAGGTATAACGGATGCTGTAATCTATGGTTATACCAATGACGATTGGAAGTACAAAGAAATTTGTACGCAT